AGCCTTTTTCCATTTTGAGATTCAGTCTTACTTGATCCTTTTAACATGTCAGAATTGAAGTCACCCAAAAGAATAATATTTTTCCTTCTTAGCCAGATGTTTTCTAGCACGTGCCTGAAGTGATTGAAGAATAAGGAGTCTTGAGGTGGTCTATAAATACATCCTATCAAGAAAGATTGTGATCTTATTGTTACATTTAGCCATGTCGCTTCTAAATGGGTGCAGTTCCAACGGGTTACCAAATAAGCAGTAAGGTTAGCTTTGAAATATATTAAGACACCTCCTCCAGGACCCGAGTCACGATCTCTTCTCACAAAGCTGTATCCATTGACATTAATCCATTCATCTGGAATATCTTCTCTTAAATGGGTTTCCGAGATGCCAAGGATATCAAAACTAGCTTGATCTAAAATATTATGGACTTCTGGTAGTTTATTTAGTAAACCATTGATGTTAAGATGAGCGATTTTCAAGTTCCTGTCACCAAGTTGTTGATTCAAGACCAAGAAAGGATCATCTCCCTGCTCCGAGACATTAGCGAAGTCGCCATCTTCCAGGTTCTCTTGATTATAGACAGAGGTCTGTTGCAGTAACATACACTTCGGGCAAAGCCAAGAAAGATTTTCCAAATTGATCATTTGTTGGTATTCGAGAGGAGTAACTGAACCACTTTTTATATGGCACCATTGGAGGCAGTTGTCACATTCAATGGCACGGTGGTTCGAAGCGACAGTTCTCGAGCAAACCGAGCATTTGTCCTAAGTCGTATTGGATGCTGCTGTTTGAGGGCCAGGATTAATGGCTACATCACCACTTAAACTTATCCTGCTGATCTGGAAACGAGAAGTAGCGTTCGGATAATATCTGATCAGCGAGAAAAGAAATTTCTTCCTTCGGACATGTTGTTTTACTATCGGTACTTGAGCTTGTACAAGAACAGAAACCAGAAATTTTGATCCCTCAGGTCGAAATAAATAGGTAGAATCTCTCCTTACGTCTCGAACAGTATCCATTTGGAAATTGAGAACGAGGCAAACAAAAATTGTGGCTATTGAGTGTCTCAAACTGGGCGAGGAAGGCGGAGCTAAAGATATAGCCGCCATCTTGGTTCCTGCAATGCCTCCTCCAGTTCTGTCTTATTTTGTTCCAAGTCATCAATTTTCTTTTCCACTCTGCAATCTCTTGACTTGTGCAAATAAGGTCTTCCTCAACACCCTCTAATGAGACGATTTCATCCTCGAAAATACTAAGTTTGTATTTTTTTTTTAGTCAAGTTCACCCCTTTCTCTACTGTTCCTGGCCTTTTGTAAATGGTTTTCACCTCTCCTGCCTTCCTAGTTAAGATGACATTTATTCGCTTCCCAGAGTCTTGGCTTATTTGTATGCAATGTCCCGGGATTAAAATCATTGGCAAGACTGATGTAATCTGGGGCAGTTGTTTCATGATCGGTTTTGTCAGAGACTTTTCCATGCCAGTCTTTCAACAAGCAATAAGGAATCTCAACTGCCAAAGCTAGTTTATTTGCATCGACATAATTCCGGTTCTTGAAGTTTTTGTGAGGGCTTCTAATTCGGAATTTGGCATCCGTTTTCTGCTGTTCACGATCGCTCAAGAAGTTGGACATTTTTTTTTATTAAAGTTTACTTTCTCAATTTTTGTAAAAGAATGTTGTTACAGCGATGTGGCAATTAAGTTCGTTCCAGCTTTGCAAATTTAGATTTAAGTGAGCCTGCTAAGTCAATGCATAGCGGATTTAATCTTAAAGCTGCCTGGTTACATGTGCTCTAACATGGCTTCCAAAACAGTAGAGAAAGAGATAAAATGGTCGTACGTTTTAGCAATTTCGTACAAAGTCGCACAATGGTGATCAAGAGTATAGCGGCCATTTGCAGAAGTTTTCTGATATTTCTGATGAAAGGATCGAAGATATCATCAAAGACTTTATGACAGGTGAGCCTTTTATGGCAGGATATTTTCATTCTTTGGGTCTACATGTATGGAGAAGTAGAATAAGGTCAGCTCTCAATAATGTTGATCCCCATGATACAATCTTGAGATGGGGAACAGTTGTATCTAGAAGAAAGTACTTTGTGAAATGGCCAAATTCCTTGTGGCATATTGATGGCCATCACTCTCTTATTAGATGGAAATTTGTCATCCATGGCTGTTGTGATGGAAAATCAAGAAAAATAATTTTTCTACATTGCAGGACAAATAATTTAGCAGAAACAGTTCTCGAACTTTTCAAAAATGATATCAGGGAGCTTTGGCCCTCTCGGCTCTGAGTAGATTAGGGAACTTAGGGTTAAAATGTTACCATTATAAACTACGTGGCTGTTTAGCTGTTGCAAACTGAAGAAATTATTCATACATTATAATGTAAAACTGGTTCTTTTTGTTATTTTCTCACCAGATGGCAAAGATAATGGTGCAACAATCGACCAAGAATCTTCGTTTCTTTGTGATTCTAATATCAAAACAAACAAATAATCAAACGGGTATTGGGAAGCTTGAATTGACCCACATCATAACACATTACTGTAGTATAATGAAACATAACTGATTAACCCAAAACATAAGTACCTATTTCGAACAATAATCAGTCAAATAACAGAAAAGTACATTGTTCTTGTGCAATCTTTAAATAGCGTTGAAGCTGGCAGTCATGACAGTTAAATCAAGCTAAATTTCCACGACTCAGCATTATTTAGAACTTCATCCATTTGTGACTTAAAAGCTGGAAAACCGTCAACCCCTGGAAGGCAAGTCCACTACTGCTGAGCGCGCACGCACGTTTTCTACGGGGTGACGGCAACCAGAAGTCAAATTTACTTCCGAACCAAGTTTCCCGCCGACAAGGTCCGCCGTCGCAACTCTGCGCCAGCTTTGTTTTGCTTATTTTGAGGTCGCCTGTAAAACGTGATTTTCGTAATTTTATATCATTTTGCTTGCAATCTTTTGTACTTAGCGATACTTAAAATATTATTCTAACGTTTTGGCATTTATATGAGCGATTGCCAAGTATTATCAGTCATTTTCTAAACTTTTTAGCCTCTATCGTGAAGATGGCTACCTCAAAACAACCTGTAATGGAATGGACAGATGACCATGACATTCTCCTGTTGCGTGAAATGATTGCTAGCAAATCAAAGCCTTGTGATGAGATAATATCTTGCCAAGTTTTTACAAAATGTTTTCAAATCACAGCTGTCTCTAGGTGACACTGGAAAAGTCAGAACTGGCCCATAAGTGTTTGCTGTAACTCTCGCCCTCTTGGGATTCATGTTGAAATTCAATTTGTACTTCATGTTCTAATCCATGCATGTTGTGGTATTTGTGTGGGATGTGGCGTACTATTTTGTCTGTTTGTGCGCGTTTGTTGTATTTGCTGCGGTAGTAGATTGTAGATTTTTTAGTGGATTGGTTTCTTTTGGTGAGTTGTCGTCTTTTGTGACAGTGGTAAGGTAGCCAGGGGTAAGAGTTTTTAGTGATTAGTTTGTTGGGGTAGTCAAGAGCGGTCAGTCGTAGAGAAAAGAGTTTGTGTATAAAGTCGTAATCGTCTTTGGTTTTAGACAGTCTGCTGTATCGTACAGTTTCAGTCTTGATGATGCCTGTGAAAATGTGTTGTGGGTGATTTGATGAGAAATGGGGGTACATGTATTTGTGATGGGGTTTTTGGTAAATTTGATGGTGAATTTTGTGATATAGTATGGTGTGGTAATTGAGGGAAATTGTGAGGTCTAGGTAGTGAATGGAATGACAATTTGTAGTGAAAGTGATTGGGATTTGTGAAGGATATGTAGTGGATAAATGGTTAATAATATCTGTAATGTTGTTTTTGTCTGTCAACAAAAATCCGTCGTCGATGTATCTACAAAAAAGGAAAAGTCCAGTGGTGTCG